CAAAAGCTGGTAAAACACATCGTACTTTAAGAGCATGCAGCAGAATTACTGAGAAAATTTTGCAAACATAGATGGACACTGCTCAAGTCAATGGTCCTCTTTTTTTAGGCTGCAGTGTTTCCTAAATACAAATCTCACAGAACTTTTATTAGTTTACTTTATCACAGAATTTTTTAATGAAATGAAACTTTAATATGTTCTACCTTGAAAGAATGCTTCTGCTGAAATCCTGAATTTTATTCCCAATATATCTTCAGTGATGTAAGGATCTCCAAATAATGCTTCACTTGGGGAGTCTATATCATAGACACCACTTACTCCAATCCTAATAAGGTAAATTTAATATGATTAATGCCTTATTGGGGAGGTATATTCATGAGCTAAAAGTACAAAGTGATCAGGCTTTGTGTTTTTATAATAACTACTGGTAATGGCTGATAAAAAGGTGAATTACTGACTTTTTTTATAGTAGAGAAATATTTATATGCAAATTTCAAACTTTAAGGGTGGTAGTCGTCATGCCACACATGGGTCTCGTATAAACAAAGATGGCGACTTTGACTGTTGCACAAATCAACGAGTACATACTGAGACGTTACCAAGTTTTAATTAGGTATTTTTTTAGGTGATTGGAGGTATCGAAAAAGTCACTGGCGGTAATTAGTGCAAGTCGCGCCTAGGTCATACTTGTTATTTCCATTTATAGAAGAGAGCATTGGATTGTGGGAAAATCCATGTTTATCAAAACAAATGCACCTGCGTAGTGTGACGACCACCGCCCTTTAATATTTAAAGACAATTATGACCACATACTTATTTTCTTGTGCTTGTATCAGCAATGATGACGGCTTGTCGTCCTTGCCAGCTCCATCTTCATAATAAGCTAGTAATGATTTCTTTTCTTTCTCGATTTCTTCCTGTTATCGCAGAAAAAAATATCAGATTTCCCTTCCCCAAAAATCCATTATTACTTGGCATTTATAAATTAGCCAATCATCGAATTGACAAAATCTAGAAAAAGAAAATAAAGTCAATATTGTACTAACCTCAGATAGGCCTTCTGTGTTGACAGTCACCAGTACCATGGTCTGATTTCTCAATGATGTCCGCATCGTTACCAGTTTCCAGAATCCATCATGATTGCGATTATTGTATCCGAGTCTGGCCGACTGCTGAATGTACGACTGTACAGCTTTAGCTGCAGTCTTCATTGACTGTGGTATGTGACAACATTTACTGGGTTCTACCACTGTGTCAAAACCACCTACAAACATTGAATAGTTACTATTACTATCAGGACCACAAAACACATTCTTTTTATAGATATTTATGAATTTATCAATATTATCAAATATTTATCAATTTAAACTGAAATGAAAGGTTTCTTCTATCAGATGGATTTTAAATCTTTAATGCCCACATGACTTGAACCATTCATGTAACTGACGTTAGACTTACAAAAATGTTCATCCGTAAAACATGTGATGTCATTTGCACACTGTGCTTGTTGGATTCAACCTTTATTGAAATTTATAAATATATATATATATATAAAAACAAAAGCAAGAGAATAGATAGTGATAGTATTAGTAGAGATTGAGTCGGGTTGAAATTGTATAGATAGTAAATAGGCTTGTGGTATTCTACAACCAGGGACAAAATAGCAAGACATTCTCAAAGGTTGTCATAAACAATGTTGCAGAAGTGCTGTATTGTGTGTTGTGATAATGCCTTGCACAGTGATGAAATTAGAAAGTGCTTCCACCAAGATTAGA